TGCAGGTCAGGTACTAAAACGTTACGTTGTAGTCCTTGTTAACTATTTGTAGCCTAGTTAGTTAATTTAGGTTGTATTTCGGTTTTTTTTTTAGTTTTTTGTTTCGTTTCTTCTTTCTTTTTTTTTTTTTTTTTTTTTTTTGTTTCCTTTTAAAATTTTGTTGCTTTTTTTAAGGTTTCATTAAAACTTTATGATTAAACTGTTAAAAGTAGCGATTACGACAAATTCAACAAATTTGTTACTGAACTCTTGAATTTACTTGAATAAGATTTTATGTAAACGAACGTACGTTTTACCTACAAAGAAACAGATTACGCTATTTCAGAAAAGCCATATAATCTGTATATCTACAGTCGAAATCGTCAGACTGGAAGATTTGACTGGTTTGACTAAGTAAAATCACATGAATATCACCCACCTAGTTAACCAGATCCTTGGACATCACTAGCGTCCATACACGTAATATCCAAATTGGTGTACAAAAATATAACTTTAGTCATTTAATGTCAGAGCAACCACTAATATTATTACAAATTATTTTGTAATGATTATGCTATGGAGTATATTACTATATATCATTGTTTACAAACAATCAAACTGGGAAAACAGACGGAAAGTGTAACCAATCATCAAGATATAGTTAAACCTTATTGTTTGTTTACTTACTAGTTTTAGATTACTATATAAACGCCCTTCTCCTCAGCCAAAATCTTCAGTTAGGAAGATTTTTGCTGGCAGAGCTAATAAACTTGTTCGATAACATATTCATTAGTATCACCAGGACGTTACTAAAGATATATCACTCCAGATATTAGTGACTTATTTAAAAGCATCCAGCTTGACGATTCAAGCAACTATAACTGTATTCCACTCTCACACTTATTACTATACGGAGTATTTTCCCGTGACAGTATTAAAAATAAATTATCTTCCTAACTGCAGTGGAATTGTTAGATCTGAATACCCAAATCCATAAGGCAGAATGTCTCAAAACGAATTGAGTCCAAATACAATCAGCAAATATTTTCAACAATGCGAAGAGCATATGAATGAGTTAACGACTAGAATGAGTCTAGTGACGCAAGAAATGATTGATATGAAGAAAGAAAAAGAACAATCATCCCAAATGGAAATTGATGAAGATTACATATCCGAAGAAAATACTGACATTATCAAAATGACTATAAGAGCTTATGGAGAAAACGCTCAGGCATATATTTCACGATTAAATCAGAAAGAACCCGACTTATATGACTCTGAGAAAGAATCGACAAAAGTCTTTTTAAAGAAATTAGAAAATGTTTTCGAATTGTTACCATTGGTATTCGTTTCAGATCGAGAGAAAATAGGATATCTTTATAACAGATCTCCTGAAAATCTTAAGGAAAAGATAAAAGAATCCGTTAAGAAACCGGGACCACATAGAACATTCAAAAATATTTATAATCAAGTTTATTCGAAAGAACAATTTTCGACTTGGTTGACTCAATTACATGCAGTCATGGATCAAGCATTGAAACTTGAAGTAAATACGAAAGAGTACAGACATTGGTTCGAAGAATTAGATAACGAAACAAGATTCAAAATGCATCTTTTCATGGTACATCCTTTTGCTATAAGAAAAGAACTTCTTAGAAACAATTATGAAACTGGTGATTATGACAAGTCAATAAGCACCACGAAAGAAAAGTTTCGTTACGGCAATTCCCGAAGATATGAGAAACATAATGGACGAATATTTTCAAATTCGAAACCCTTAAACAAAAGGTTTCCTAGTAAAGACGAATTTAAGAAAAGCGAGAACGATAAACCAAAGTATAAGAAGTCAGAATGACTAGATGATCGTTATCCAGTACAACAAGCCGAAACAATTGTTGTAAACCAAATCCGTGATACTTCATCAGTGTCTCAGAAGGGGGGACGCTCCCAATTTAAAAAAATCAAATTAGATAATTTGGAAACTGAAGCACTTATGGATTCTGGAGCAGATGTATCTCTGTTAAGAGAGGATTTAGCGAAGCAAATCACACGGGAATTTGATAAAGAAGACCGAACATTTGTAGGCATAACTAAACACATTCTAAAAGTTACTGGAAAGTTAACATTACCAGTGGAAATTCGAGGAAGAAAATACCACGAAACATTTACTATATCGCCAAGTATTGAAGAAGACGCCATTATCGGTTGGTCATTAATTGAAAAGATGAACAGATTAGAAGGTTTAAGCAAAATTGAAATAAAAGAAAGCCACGATGAGAATTTTAAGAAAAATGAGGAAATTCAAAAAATTTTGAAACCTTTTTCAGAAATTTTTGAGGAACCTACTAGGACTCCTTTACCTGAACACTCAGAGAGTGATTTAAAGATAGAATTAACAGAAGAATTACCAACGTATTCGCCAAAATTAAGACCTTATACACAGAAGGAAAGAGAATGCATAAAGGAAAAGACTGACGAATTATTAAAGCAAGGCAGGATTCGTCGAAGTTCTTCAAAGTTTTTATGTGCGCCATTGATTGTTCCAAAAAAGGGAACAGATAAATATAGAATGGTAGTAAATTACAAGCCTTTAAATGCAATAACAAAAAGGGATAAATATCCGATACCTAACTTCGAAGAAATTATAAATTGGTTAAACGGAGCCAGAGTTTTCTCAACATTAGACTTGAAGGACGCATATCATTTATTAAGAATCAGGGAAGGAGATGAGTATAAAACTGCTTTTAGAACACCTTTCGGATCATTTGAATATACAGTTATGCCATTTGGCCTGACAAATGCCCCGGCAAATTTTCAACGACACATAAATGGAATATTACATCCATACAATGGCATTTTCGTGATTATCTATTTGGACGATATTCTCATTTATTCTTCGTCAATAGAAGAACATCGTTCACACGTGCGAAAAGTTTTGCAAAAACTGCGTCAAGCAAATTTATATTTAAATGCGGAAAAGTGTCAATTTTTTCAGAATAGAGTGAAATTTCTAGGTCACATATTTTCCGACGCGGGTATGGAAGTGGACAAGGAACGAATTCAAGCAATCACCAATTGGCCGCAACCAAATACTCTTAGAAGATTAAGATCCTTCTTGGGTTTTGTTAATTATTCTAGGCGATTTATGCCTAATTTATCAAGATTGGCTAGACCGCTATATGACTTAACAAAGAAAAATGTAAAGTTTAAATGGACAGATCGTCATCAACAGGCTTTCATTCAAGTAAAGCAAACACTTGAAAATGTATCAATTCTAAGTCATTATAAACCAGGAAGAGAAACTCTAATGGAAACGGATGCTTCTGATTATGGTATAGGAGCTATTCTATCACAAAAACAGGATGACGAGAAATTCCATCCGATTGCGTTCCATTCCGCTTCATTTACCGACCAACAAAAGATATGGTCAACATGGGAAAAAGAAGCGTATGCCATCATAACATCGCTCCGCAAATGGTATCATTTTCTAGCAGATACGGACAAACCGTTTAAAATCCTAACAGATCACAAAAATTTGACGTCTATGTTCACGAACATACGTACAGACACTAGGCCAAAAATAAATAGGTGGGCAGCGGAATTAGATTCTTATAACTTTGAAATTCAATATCGACCTGGACGGAAGAATGAACCAGCTGATGCTTTATCTCGCAGAGATGATTTAAAAACTCAAGTTATCAATCGTGTTTTAGTAACCGATGGCATCACGAATATTTTTGATTATTTAAGGAAAGAATATGACCGGCATCCAGAATTTAAGGTTATTCTTGATGGTATAAATGATAGTTCCAATTTTTTGGTACGAAATGGCTTAATTATCAACGAACTTGGTCAAGTCGTAATCCCAAAAGTTCCACAATTAATTCAGGTTATCTGTAACAAATTTCATGATCAACCAACTTCAGGAGGTCATCGTGGAAAAATATCTACTACTAACCGCATCAGAGAAAAATTTTACTGGAAAGGTATGACAGTTGATATACAAAATTATGTTAAAAATTGTAACATATGCCAAAAGTATAAGACGCGCAATCACAAACAATATGGATATCTGCAACCTTTGCCAATAGCAGAAAAGCCTTTCAGTCATATTTCCATGGATTTTATCACAGGACTACCAAAGTCTCAAGACAACGACGCGATTTTGACTATCGTAGACAGGTTTACTAAGATGGCTTGGTTTATACCATGTAACACATCAGTTACAATGGACGATTTAATAAAAATATTTAATGATCGATTCATCGGAAATTATGGTTATCCAACTGATATTGTTTCCGATAGAGGATCCGTTTTTACTTCCGAGAAATGGCGACACTTTGCGCACAGTCATCATATAAACCTAAGTTTGTCATCAGGATATCATCCACAAACAAATGGACAGACCGAAAGAGTAAATCATATACTCGAAAATTATCTTCGTTGTTACATTAACAAACAATCCGATAATTGGGTAAGTTATCTTCCTCAAGCACAGTTATGCTATAATTCTGCACAACATTCTGCTACGAAGATCGCACCTTATACAGCCGCCTTCGGAAGACCAGCAATAACAAACGATTGGGATATTAAAATGATAGAAGAAACAGGTATAACCCTAACACAAGATCACATATATACCGCTGAACAAATACATGAAAGGATTAATCATAAGAATAAAGAATATGCGGAATATTATAATCGGAAAAGAAGTCGTGCCCCTGTTTTCAAACAACATGATTTAGTTTTGGTGAAAAAAGGCAAAGTCGGATTTTTTCACCAACAACATAAACTCGATTCAACATATGCAGGACCATTTAGAGTCGAAGAAAGAGTTGGAGATCACAATTATACCTTAAGCTTTCCAGAAAACATTCGACGACGTTATCCTTCTAGTTTTCATGTTTCTGAACTAGAACCTTTCAATGATGATCTTACTTATAACAATTTCAAACAAACCATTCAGATAGATGGAATTTTAGACGTCGACGATTTTAAAAATCCATACCTTTATTTATGCTTATACAACAAACGTCTTACCAATGAAAAATTCCAGACTACAGCCTGGATTCCGCAAGACATCGTCCATAACTTAGCCGCCGATAAATTAAATGACTTTACTCAACGCGCTTCTGCATCACAGGAACCGCAATGACTATAAGATTCTCCCATAACCAACGGAGTGGTAGAATCTTAGGACGGGAGGTGTCAGAGCAACCACTAATATTATTACAAATTATTTTGTAATGATTATGCTATGGAGTATATTACTATATATCATTGTTTACAAACAATCAAACTGGGAAAACAGACGGAAAGTGTAACCAATCATCAAGATATAGTTAAACCTTATTGTTTGTTTACTTACTAGTTTTAGATTACTATATAAACGCCCTTCTCCTCAGCCAAAATCTTCAGTTAGGAAGATTTTTGCTGGCAGAGCTAATAAACTTGTTCGATAACATATTCATTAGTATCACCAGGACGTTACTAAAGATATATCACTCCAGATATTAGTGACTTATTTAAAAGCATCCAGCTTGACGATTCAAGCAACTATAACTGTATTCCACTCTCACACTTATTACTATACGGAGTATTTTCCCATTTTCCCGTGACATTTAATTCCCTTGAAATACATAATTATACGGTGTAGGATTTCTGTCATGACATAATTATAGGATTAGAGGTTCTTGGTGAACATACAGACCCACAACCAGGATAAATACAGGTTTCTTCATTATATCAAAGTGGTAGGATAAGTAACAGCGAGCTTACCCATCAATTTGTTACTTAAAATAGTAAATAAACCAAATGGCAATTGTTCAAACAAATCTTCATAACCAAGGTAAAAAGCATATGAAATAATTTTTAAAGCCCGTTTTCCTAACGGATTAATATTATTAGCTCTCATTTCGTGTATGTCTCTCGCCCTTCCCTTTAAAAGAACAGAAAAAACTATTCAATGTACAAATTGTCCAACCCACTTGCGATCGCCTCCTTCGTTAGGAATGTTTCACCCAAAGGATAGATATTCTTCAGTCCCTTGTTTGGTATCAAACCACTTTCTAAAGCAAATTTAGTTGTTTGCTGAAGGGTAAACAAAGGATGATCTTCTCCTTCTTCATCAATATCCTTTTCAAGCGCTTTTAGCCATCCCTCCAGTGAGACAAACTTAAGCTTTTTTTTCTTCAAGGATTTACAAATTCGGGCAAATTCGTTACCGTCAAAAGTATCGTATGCAAGCAGAGGAGCATACCCATCAGCTTGTTTCTCCATTATCTGAGTCAACGCTACACACAATGCATTTGTGGTAGAAATACGAAAGAGCAGAGGTTGAGATTCACTGTACTGGGGGAAAGCACCCATTCGTAATGCTGATACGACGAAACGCCAAAAGAAATCTCTAGATAGGATCCCTCCATCGCTTGCTATGATAAATCCTGGACGAATAACATATATTGAAGGATGGCCTAAATCCTTTACTTTTTTACACAAAATCTCAGAAACGAATTTAGATAGTGCATAACCAGATGCTTTAGTAGACTCTATGCGATCGTCAAACTCTATTTCTTGTTGTCCACCTCCTGAAATAAAGTAAAGCGCCTTTGGACCCATTACACTCAGCTCTAAAATAGTTTTCGTTCCCAGGACATTCACTGGTCTAAGTTCTTGATACGATTTCATCCAGTGAACTTCAGCTCCCATGTGATAGATGCAAGAAACATTTTCTATGAGAAAATTCCATTTTGAATTATCCAAACCAAACCTTGTCTCCTCTAAATGAGCTGCCCATACAATTAATTTTTTACCAGAAATTCGAAAACTTGGAACAAGTGATGTTAATCGTTCTTCAGCAGCTTTATCAGAAGAATCTCGTATCAGACATACAACACTCATATTTATTTTAAGTAGATACTCCAAAAACCGACGACCAAAGTAACCTGTCGCCCCAGTTAGCAAAACGTATTGACCATTAGTATGCATAATAGTTAACATGGGAATGGTTCGTGCTAAAGCGCATGCATCTTCGTGAAGAAGCCCGTAGGTAATTTTCGATAAATTCAAACTCTTCTCTTGAATAACAGAAGCTAATGAGCTAGGCGTACAATTCGAATCCATAACAGAACTAACTGAACCTTTAAGCTGAAACTGATTTTGTAGGAAAAGGAAAAACCTTACAGAATGAATGGAATCTAAGCCACAAGAATAAAGAGATGCATCCTTTCCTTCCAACGTTGGATTTTGAAGAACTTTTGCAGCAATTTTGCTAATTTCAATGGCCAAAGGATTTGATAAAATAGGTAACCGTTGGTCTTCTACGTAAAGACACTTAGATGCATAAGCTTCGATAGACTTTAGGTCTACTTTTCCAGCGGCAGTATGTGGTATATCTGTAAATGGAAAACATTTAGAGAAAAGATTCGGATTCCGAAGCTCTTTATTCAATATCTCCTTTAGTAATGCAGGATCTACGCCATCATAGGCAGGAACGTATGCCAATACAAATCGATTCAATATAAAGAAGGAAAAAGAAGCTTCAACGTCCTTTAGACCTAAGGCTACTTGGTCAAAGTATTGTAAATCAAAGAAAATACCATTTCTCTTGACACGTCTCCCCACTCGACCTTTGATAGTGATACCCAACTTTCCTTTATACGAGTTCCAAACGGCCAAGTCAGCAAACCGTATTGCTGGCTCACCATGGAAATCTATAAATGTAGAATCTCGAGACTGAACGGTTTCGGTATCGCCGCCTACATAAGGCTCCGATTGCACGTCGGTCACGACACAGACAAAACCCTCACGGCCAATTTTTTCAAGGACAGGTTCATTATTTTCTGTAAGCAATAAAAGTTTGTTAACTGTTTTTCCGGGGAAGTAGACAAGTTCTTTGCTATGCAATGTATCTTCTCCATTAGGAGCAAAAAACGAAACTAATCCTGATTCAGTGGTACCATATTGTGGGTAAATGATCGCATTTGGCAAGACTCGTTTGCATATATGGTACATGTTTGCAGGGACCATTTCGCCGCCGGCAACAACTAGCTTACAAGAAGGAAATGATTCAGACTTATCAGGCATTATTTGAAGAGTTAGAATAAGGAGATTGGGCAAAATAATCAAGCGTTCGCATCCGGCACGAAGAGCATAATAGACATTCCAAGCTAGTTGTTCTACTTCTGAAGTAGAAATAAAATTAGACGATATTGAGGAAGATGGATACAGTAAGCTCCCATTACAGTAAAAGGCATTAAGCCAGCTCATTGTCGTTAAAGCAAAGCTGGGAGCCATTACCATTGGCGTGGAAAGATGATTCATGAACTCTGGAGTTCCATAGTCATAACCGAAAGCATATTTTTTCATGAGAAATGGCATTGATTTAGGAACACCAGTAGATCCACTGGAATGATTGATAAGTGCTACTTCTGGTTCCAACCCAGCACGAATGCAAGGAACGTTAAGGTCCGTCTGGAGGCAAGCAAAGGAAATGACGTTCAAAGAATCCACCTGAAAGGCAGGCGCATATTCATGATAAAGCAAGTCAGAAATATCTAAACGTTGAACAAGAGCATGAACAACCCCTTGGGACCAGATATGATTAAAAATGACGCAAGTTCGTCCAGTAGCCCACAAAGCAAAGATAGTACTTAGAAAATCTAATTCATGACCCATATGAATTCCAACCGTTTTCCCCAAGCAAAGATCATTGCAGAATTTAGCGACTGCATTAACACGACGAAGTAATTCTTTATATGTATACTCAGCGACAACTCCGTATTCATTGTACACATAGATAAAACGATGATCTGGTGTCTCATTTGCATTTCTTAATAGGCGAGCGACTGGTGTATCCTCTTCTCTAGGAGAAGTCAATATGGATGAAAAGGACGTTGTATTTGAGGATTTTGGTGACATCTTAGTGTCGTTGTTCAAATACCAATATCAACCAAGAAGATCGAGTCTTGAAACGAATAGCAGCAAGTTTTCCCCTCCTCCCCCAAGTTTAAAGGTAGATAGATACTTTTCAATCTACGTTGTTTAGTGTACGCTAAAGATACATAAGCTTCACTTCATACAAAAAAGCTATGAACCGGTTATAGGACTCCGACTCGATTGCCCACAGATCAGGATATTACAGTATGCGGGAGACTATGTAGTTCTGTAACCCTCAGATTTATTAGATTCGAATTGTCCACTGCATAAATAATTAGTCGACTGGAATTTTAAATTTATAGCAGAAGGAGCACAAGCACTAAGTATTGAGCCATCTATCACTCGTTTTCGGATTCTTGTATAAAACGATGACACGGATAGTAGAAATGGTAAATATTTACAGACATCCGAAACAGTTTATAATATCGCTTAGACTTTAGAATACTTAGAAAAAAAGTATTCAGCAATCGAATCAAAAGACAGGTAAAGCAAGCATCAGAACAAAATCCAAAGGATTAAAACGCTTTTGTCAATTGGAAAAGCAATAGCAATCGTCTGATTAACAGAGCACTTATAAAAACAGCATTTGAAACTATTTTTTGTTATAGCAATTCGCAAAAATCAACTCCATCGAGAAAGGATAAAGATTGTAGAGATTTACTATCACTTTTTTAAATTGGGAATAAAGACACTAAACACGAAGAATGACGTTTTCCACTGTACTTGTTACTGGTGCTTCTGCAGGTTTGGGATTTGCATTGGTTACGGTTGGTTTGGCTCAAGGTTATAATGTGGTTGCGTGTTCCCGTGCACCTGAATCCATAAATGTCGAGCACTCAAACTTACTAAAGCTCAAAGTAAACGTGGCGGATGTTAACTCTGTTGAAAGCGCTTTCAAGAGTGCGCAAAGACATTTTGGAAATATAGGCATAGTGATCAACAATGCAGGATATGGACTTGTTGGCGAGTTTGAATCGTACACCATCGAGGAAATGCATCGGCAAATGAATGTAAATTTTTGGGGAGTGACATATGTTACTAAAGAAGCGTTGAATTACATGCGTGAATCTGGAAAAGGAGGACGAATTTTACAAATCTCATCGGTCGCAGGATACTACCCATCTCCATGTTTAAGCATGTATAATGCCAGCAAATTTGCCGTTGAAGGGCTCTCTCAAACAATTATGAGAGAGTTGGATGAAAGTTGGAACATCGCCATAACAATTGTGCAACCAGGTGGTATGCAGACAGAGTGGGCTGCCTCTAATATGCAGTGGTCCAAACCACATCCTGCATATGAGAATGATAAATCTTGGAGACCAATTTGGGAAAACTACCATGGGTCCGAGGAAACAGACCCAATTAAAGCAGCGAATCTGCTATATACCATTGCTAGGCTCGACAAACCGCCCCAAAAGCTTGTCCTAGGTCATGATTCCTTGGAGTTGATTCGCAAGCAACATCAGGATATTGGACAAGAGCTTGAGAAGAATGTAGCCCTTAGTACAAGCGTAGCAAGAGATAATTTTGACCCAGGCTCAGTGAAAATTTTGCGTGAGAATCTTCAATCCATGTGATAGAGAAGTACTAAAAAACGAAGTTTATTATTTTGAATACTTTTAGGTGTAGGATCAAAAATAATGAGCCGATTCTTCCATAATAAATAATGAATGTGTTTGAAAATTGAAAATCTGGCTTTACACATGAACATAAAAAGGTCACAGCGAGGAGTTTATTCATTAAGAGTAAAACTTAAACCAAGGCTAAATACAAGAAAGTGGAATGAATGCTTATGAGTCTTTCCTTGGTGGATTTTCCGTACAAGTCAAACAGGAAATCGTGTTGGCAAGGAAAAACTTACTAAAGCCGCTTTTTTTGTTTGGAGTAATGCGAACTATACGCAAACGATTGCTAATAAATTTTTAGACGGAAATTTGGACGATCAAAATTTTTTTAGCTTTATTTTGTCAGCCGAGCGGTGTGACATCTGAATTTGTGAACGTCGCTTACTTTGCATTGAGTGATACTCTCAAGGCTCCTTTAGAGGATTGAACTTGAACAATTAAAAAAAAGGCAAGACATGATGATGTGTCAATATAAGCCTTGGTTGAACTATTTTAATTTCGATAATGTCGTTGAATGTAGAACTGGACTGTTGAAATAAATAAAACAACTGCCTTGCTTACCACACTGTTTGCAACTGACAAATGGAAAAATAGGTAACGACTTACAAATAAAGTGGGAATATGCGAGAATGCTCGTTCGTTTTCTATCGTACAAAAGAGGAATTTTTGATATGTGATGTCAGTTTCTAGAGATATCTAGAACGGCGAGTTTAACAAGGTACAATCGGAGCGGAGCATTCATGAAAACAAAAGCGAAAAAACAAGATTAAAAATAAATAATTTAAAAAGAATTAAGAAAAAAAAGGATGAGTAAGAGAAACCAGGAACTGGAACGAACATGTCGAAATCTCTGGAAGAAGCCAATGGTGGCATGTCGTCATATCTAGAAAGTACTAAGACTCTTACAGAATGTTTCTTATTTTCGGTAGCTCAGGTATAAATGGGAGTCAAGTAGAGACGATTCAACAACATTGACAAAAAAGAACAAGAGTAATTTTTATTTTGATTGTTGCGTGAAATAAACGAGTGTTTTTTACAATGTCTCTTCAACCTTTCTTCGATTTATATCCATTTCAAGACGGTCTTTCTGACTTTTTGAGTTATTCCCCTCGCGTTCAACGCCAGAATCGTGCTGTTGATTTATCACCTGCCATTGATGTCCATGAAGGCAAAGACACGGTTGCTGTTGATGTAGAACTTCCTGGTGTCAAAAAGGAAGACGTTCAAGTTCATTACGACGAAGGAAAACTTACCGTTTCTGGAGAATCATTCAACGAAAGAAAAAGTGAGGGAGAGAAAGGAAACCACAGATGGTCTGAACGTCGCTTTGGATCCTTCTCTCGAACGATCTCCATCCCCAGCAGGATCGATTCCGATCGTATTGAAGCCCAATTTTCCAATGGCATTTTGAGTATTGTTTTGCCAAAGATTGAGCAATCCCGCTCCAAGAAACAAATCGCCATCAATTAAGCTGAAGGGCTAGTGGTATTGAGTTTGTGATGATATGATTGTATTCTAATGAGAATTTATAATGGCATAATGGCTTTTTAATTTAGCATAGTGGTTTAATGAGAGTCTATCAATTTTCAATAATGTTTATATCAAGTAGCAGTGTGGCCCAGGAATGTCGGTGGCATCTATCTTGCCAGTACGAATCCAGCCGTCTTGACCTGAATAATTAATGATATTATCAACGGTTACGGCTTGCGAATGATAATGGTAAGGTCGCTGGACGTTTTTTCCATAGCCATCATCATTATAGTAAGGTAAGCTTGACATTGTATTGAGGTAGGATCAACAAAAAAAAAAGAATAAAGTGTTAAAGAACAAGAGTAAAATATTTAAATCTTTTACAGATTTCTTTTCTGTAAGACTATGCAAAGTACAATGGCAATAAAAGATGAAATCATGTTAAAACTGGAGATTACTTTTTATTTCTTTTTTTTTTGGCTAGACAACATAAACAAAGCAGTATGTTACTCGTCAGACAACGCTGTCACTTGGGAGAGGTGACGGTATACATCGAAGAATAGCGGTATTTTTAGTCAACGTAATATAGTTTAGCGAAGGATACCGAAGGAATGCGAAACTGGCAAAGCCATTACTTTACCTCTGCAAAACTCTGGTCATCGCCATTGCGGACTCATTTCTCGGTTTTTTATGGTTTTCTCGGCTTTTTCGGTTTTTTCTTTTAGGGTCAGTTAATTTAGGCGCTTATCTAGAAATTTGCATGCCTTTGACCCTTCTACTGCGTCGTAATTCTCTAGTTCACAGTGCAGTCCTAACCCATCGCATTGGTGACAGATGACTCTATTCTAAGAAAAATGTACGAAAAAGAAAAAGAAATTCAGCTAGAGGCTGCGAAACAAGCCAAATCTTTTTGCTTGAGCTCTTCTGTAAGTTCTGACAGCTTTTTGCCGAAATACAGCGAAAACTCCTATTCACATCTGGACGATATGGAAAAAGGTTGCTTATGTTTACATTCTGATCCAGCTCCACCGTACCCAGAAAACAAAGAATCTTCCATAAACATGCGACTAAACCTTTCCTTCGAATCAATAACGAATTTCTTCATGACATTAAGGAGTCTCTTCATGGCATTACCGTCTCTAGTTTTCTGGCCGGCAAAAATTGCGAGAATTCCTGAAGCACGACGCAGACAGGAGAATGAAGCTCTCCGGCTTGGTTGGTGCTTTATTGGTTCAATCGTATTGGACTTTTTCTTTTCTTACTTTTTCCTTGTCCCCTTTACAAAGGAATCGATGAAAGAATTTGTAGGGTTACGGTTTCAGATTGCTCTAGCGATTGTTCTTGTCATCGCGGCTTTCTACATGTTCTTGTTTGTTTTTTCACGTAAGTAGAATGGTGGAATTTTAACTTGATATGTTTACTAACGGGGTACTTATAGTGTTGCTGGATTTTATTGCTTTAGTGCTTTCTGGGATTGCTTCTTTGATTTCTGGGATTGCTTCTTGGATTCCTTGGATTGCTTCTGGGATTGCTTCTTGTATCATTGCTGCTCTTGGTTTCAGGATGTCGTCGGAAAGAAACGACTCGACGGATGGTAACTGGATCCCACTAAACACTATGCCAGTAGGGTCTGAAAATCAATCCAACAATCGTAGTGATAATACTGCCGGACAACCATCATCTGAATGTTTTGAGCAACATCCAAGGACACATCACAAACCGAGTCAGGCTAGGGATGCTGAAAGCACTGGAAACGAATCTCATGCTTGAACCATTCTTATGATGATGTCCTGTCTTTTCATTTATTCTCTATGCAGGCTTGTGTTTTCTTTAAATGTTTTATTTTGTTTCTTTCGTTTCCCGTTGTATTTATTTCCGTTGAGCTTTTGCATATAAACACATTTCATAGGCCGTTGTTGTTAAAGCTCTATTGGTTCCATCGAGGCTTTGCGGCTTTGAGCAAGGAACAAGTGAGGTCGTCGTGGGATGATATGGATCGTTGACTCTCTAGTTGGTTCTTTCTAATTCACATGTTGGTTGTTATTTATTCTTCTAGAGCCCTTAATTCCTGATTCTTTTTAATTTGTTTAATAGAGCTAATAAGAATTTAATTATTGATTCAAGGATAACCATTGCTTTTTTTGCTTCCGCTTTAGTATCACCTTAGTCGAAGGTCCATGCCTCTCAAAAACGACAGGCATATACCTTCAATAAAAAGGAAAGAACAAAGGTAGGAGAGAATCCTGCAAAAGATAGTTACACAATAGTAGGTCAGGTCCCCGAATGTTAAGATTAGGTAGAGACGATCTCGAAGAAATATGGAGCCCAGATTGTGTAGATTTAGGATGGATTTATATCAAGGTTTTAATAACCTTCTAGACGAGGTCGAATCACCGTGCGTCCGTATCCAAAGCATTCTCGAGCTTGTGTTTAAAGCTTGGCATGTTGGGTTCCCAACCTAGTAGCCTCCTTTCGCTTTCCTCTACAGTCATGTATTCTACACCTGGCGGCGCCTTTCTTGTATGAGACCTTGGCAGCCAACCGCAGCATTCCTTGATTCACATAAAAACCATTTTCTGCTAGGTAATACCTTTTTTCGTTTCAAGTGGCGCGTTCACTACCGTTCACAGCAGCTTCTGCCAGTAGCACGTGGAGCTTGCTTAAATCCTGTACATGGATATTATGCCAAATCTTATCACCTTTTCCAACCACAAAGATCTATTTGTGTTTGAAAAATAACTCAAATAACGGAAACGAATTCTTCTTATCCGGTCCCCGACCTATGGCATATATGACAGCCGGAGCGACAATGGCAACTTTATCTACCTTGCGATGGATGATCTGGAAGTGAGGTCAACTCCTCTACATGATCCTAATCGTTGTTAATCCTGTCAAAACACTCTCCATACTTTCCGGTGAATAAAGTCTGTAGCGAGAGCGAATGTCCCAGAAGTATGAATAAAATAGGCAGGATTCTTGGCTTGGCGATGACTCAAGCCTCGCACGATTGCTCTTGCCGATGGCACATGTTCATCACTAGCAGCAGAATGAAAGACAATATCAGCCTTGGAAGCTTCCTCTTCAATTAAGTCTACATCATCGGTACTCCCATATACTAGTCTCGCTTAAGGGTATGCAGAAGCTACTTTGGCACAGCTCCTTGCTTTACTACCTTCCAAACTGGATCATTCCCACTTTGGATGTACGCGGGAATCGTAATATAGGATATCTCCTCCCAGAAATCCCGTCTATTCACTGTAATGAATGACAGACAAAGAGAAGATTTTGATCTTATACGAATATCCTTGGTGTTACGTTACCACATTCATTTAATTTATTTTTTTCATCCTTTTAATTGTAATAAAAAAGAACGTTGCAGAGATATGTTTTTTTGTGTATAAGTGAGAAAGTATGGCGATAAGAAGCTTAATTATGATGAATAGGAATCAGCTAAAAATTTATCAGACAAAACAAGAGAAACGCAAAAAAGGAGAAGAAGCCTACAGCACCCCGGATTCCCATGTTGTCTCCAACTATAGAACGAACGAGGCCCTCAGACGTTTTCACTTTATTGCAGTGATCGGACGGGAACTGGTGTTTTTCGCCTAGGTATGGCCGTAGACAGTTAACGAGTTCATTTAAACATATTCATACCGAATAACAAAAGAATTAGTATCTATATGCATCATGTCACAAGCACACTTGTCTCATTTGTTTCATTGTTTCGTTGTCTTATGATACAACTTTTTTATCTACATGTTGACCCTGCCTCTTTTCGTCTATATACTTCCACTCTATGCTGCTAAACTGTGTATACAAAACAAAGAGGCAGCAACTTGGAACGTCATCTCTAATATAAACGAAATGACAATGTCAATGTTGAAAATAACAACACAAGAAATAGAATAGAAAAAGCAAAACAATAGAATACAATAAAATAAAATAAAATAACCCAAATTAATAAATACAAAAAGTCGTAAAGAAAATGACGAATTATAGATCAAAAGGATTTTATTGTACAAGTTTGCATTGTTGTTGCAAGTATTTTTTTTTTTGTTACTGAATTATACTTCGAGAGTATTCAATTGTATTTTATATAAATATATATATACATATATTTGAACTGCCATAGTATCACGGGTGTCATGGGAGAAATCTCACACGTTATGAGAATGTAAATCGAGTGGAAGTAATAAGTACAATTACAGAATTGTTTATTGAAATTGAACAACTTAGTACTACGTAGAAGGATAGTATTATGTCCAAGGATCTGATTAACTAAATGAAACGACTAAGTGTCAATCTTATTTAGCTTGGTAGGCATAAAATGGATTCTTCAAGTCATCTTGACATCTTGACATACAGTCTGAGGGCGTCATAAACTGCTCGTTACTACTGCACCCCGTGTCTTGTGGCATAAACATATTATGATAAGCAGTGTATTTTCCTCGTTTACAATTCCAGATTGATGTGCTTGTTCTGGTCTGAACTGCGTCTAGGCTTATTTCGAATGAACTCAGGTAGCGAATCTGGATTAACTAACGCGTCCTCTAAGGAGGTAACAGGACGTATTTCATCATATGGGAAGTGGTCATACTTATAGTGTGTAAAAAACAGCCCGTAAGCAAACAATTGATAGCACCTCAACGTTACGGGATCGAGGGTATCAGTATCAGTTTCGGTCCTATTGCTTACAACCGCTAGTAATTGTGTATCGTCAGTGGCTATAACAGTGTTGCCTGGAAAACCAAACGCGGACAAACATGTAAGAAAATTTACCGTATCTACATGTGTGGAATTATCTCTTGGGATAGGTTGAAACAGATTTCGGTCTCCTAACAAAGCGTTAAGTCCACTAGCTAGGAGAGAAAAACAAGCTAATATGACACTAAACATCTTAGCTTTGGAGACTTGGATGAATGGGGTTTGTTTGTGCTTGCTTACTTACTTGATTATCTACTTACTCCATAATATTATGAGATCTGTATAGTACATTCGTGCACGCTCTCGGTGGATTACTTTAGTAACGCGTTGCAGAAGATTACGTAGCAGCGGTGTCAAATGTTACGTAGCTATAAACTTGGTCAATGTGCTTATCCGGTGCATGTGGAGTTGATTACTAAAGTTGATTACTAAACTTCAAAGTATCCGTATCGGCTCTTTAAATTTATATATTACATTGATTCACCAGGATGTGATTCCAAGATATTACCCTATTACTTTAGACACCCCGATCCGACAACTATAATAATGTCTGAGAAATCTGTTTTCCTCCTTGGTCCAGGCTATATTGGCGGCCAGATATTGGAATTCCTCTTGCAAAGAAATTACCATGTAACAACCTTGACTCGCAGGGAATCCACTGCCGCCGAATTCCACGCCCAGGGTATAAAGACTGTCATCGGATCTGTGGACGATAGATCCCTCATTCAGAAGCAAGTCTCTGTCAGCGATATTGTTCTCCATACAGCAACGGCTGACCACTTACCATCGGCAGAAGCCATCCTTGATGGGCTGGAGGAGCGTGCTAAAAACAACCTGCAAACGATTTACATCCACACCAGCGGTGCAGGCGTCCTAGGCGACAATAGCGCCGGAGCGTTCAAGAGCGATATGGTTTTTGAAGACGACAAGCCTGAAGACATCGACGCACTCCCTGAATCCGCGGCGCATCGCACCATAGACCTAGCGATTGTGCGTCGCCGGAAGATCCTCGGCAAGCACGCCAAAATTGCCATTATGATCCCCCCGCTCATTTACGGCGTCGGTCCTCCTGGCAGATTGTCTATCCAGCTCCCTACCTTAGTCCGGTATGCTTTGAAGCACGGCTACGCAGGCCAGGTTGGAGAAGGCCGGTCAGTCTGGAGTCAGATTCATGTTAAGGACCTGGCGCGGGGGTATCTGACACTCCTGGATTGGTTAGAGCGGACTCCGCCCGAGGAGGTCCTCCCGAACCCATATTGGTTCTGTGAGAACGGCAACGAGTTGTCGTGGAATGATTGTGCGGCGGAAATTGGACGCGTGCTTCACCAGGCGGGTAAGATTGAAAGTTCTACTCCCCGGACTATTCCTGTCAGTAACTACGGGGATCTTTTTGGGAAGTTGACAGATACTGCGGTAGGGTCGAACTCGCGAAGCAGGGCAAATCGACTACAGAAGTTGGGGTGGGAGCCCAAGGAGAAGAAGACGTTGGCTTCGCTGGCCGAGGATGAAATTCCTTTGATTATGCAGGAGACGGGTCCATTTGAGGGTTATGGAAAGGTTGTTGCTTCATAAAATTAGATGTTTTGTTTCTGGATTCTGGTTTAAACTATAGAATTAAAATAGTATAAACCGACAGTCGACTATAGAAAATTACTATGATTTTTCGTTCATATCTTATCGTTTTATGCTTTCATGTCTGAAAATAAAAAAAAGGTTCTTGGCTTATAACGCAACTAAGCTGGTAGGGTAGTAACTTTTGTTGAAAATTGAAAATTACTAGAGTTCACCACTTGTAAAAAATGAGGAAAGTATAGAATTAACTTTTTTGAAAATGACAGAACATGTAAAAAGAAAAAAGATAAAATTTCTAGAACTGAAAATGTTAACACTCAATGATACTGTTGGAAAGAGTAGTGTAAAGGGATTTCACTGTATTGGAACATTTTTACAACAAACGAATTGTTTTCGTTGAAATTTGAAAATATTTTTTAAAAAAAAGTAGAATAAGCTTGTTTGACTTGTATTTCTCTAGTAGAAGAAGAGGTATTCGACGATAAAGTTATAAAGTCGACTTGACAAATTACACACAAGTTGGGGTTGGGGCCGGGGACCTTTGGGTTTCAAGTGTGTCAAGTGCTCGGGGGGTAATATTACGGACAAAGGTCGTAAGAGAAAATAAAAGGTAAAACAAAAACAAGAAAAGTTTCGACAAAAAGCAGAGAAAAACATACAAATGTGTAGTAAAAATTTGTCTAACTAAAAAGTT